GCCGAATTTGTATGTCATCGTCCTTAACAGCTTCCAAGACCAGCTCGTCCTCAACAGCAAGTTCCGGGTCGGCGGCCTCGTCCTCGAAGGTAGCGTCGTCCAGCCGTCTTCCTCGCCGGAGATGGAGTTTGTCGTCACCGATTTCAGATCATGACGTCAGCCTGACGTCATGTAGGCCAATCCCAAGGTCTGTCAATTTTGGGCTGGCCTGGAGAGATTTCCCCAAGTGCCAGGCCATTTTTTTGGCTGTGTGCCGGCCTATCCCACCCCCGGTGGAAGTGCTCAAAGGGCGTTTCAGAGTTCAGTTTATTGCTTGCAGCCTCCCGAGGATTCATTCGTTCGGAGTCAACCTTGGACTCTTTCCTGGTTGGGAGAGATTTTTCAATGTGACCTGTACACGGGGTGGTACACCACGTGTCACTAAACAAATGGTGGGATATGTGTGCTAAAAAGTTAATAACTTAAAAAATAAAATTTTTCACCATTCCTATTAAAATACCTGGTGTACTACTTGTATTCCCGTCACAACTAAAAATTTCTTCTTGTATTGGTTTTGCAGATGAGGATAGCAGTTGGGTCACATTTTCTGAGACTAGGAAACAACAGACTTGATTGAATGTCGTCGATGATTTGTAATCGAGTCAGTAGAGGTGGAATACTATTATAAAAGACTTTCTCACAAGAAATACAAATCAAGATTTTAAAATACGCTAGGCGCTAGACAGGCGGCGAGTTGGGCCTAGCGTTTAGGTAGATTATGCGGATTTAAGTAAATCTATTATATTTCGTGTAAATAAGTATCTGTTTATACTTAAAATATATATAATTTTATCATAAACTACAAAAATAGAATTACATATATATTATTGTGTGTTCATAATGAAAACATGGGGAACAAGCATATAATGTGGGTTCATTTAACTATTCCACAAGTCTCTTACAATTTATTAAAAAAAATAAAACACAAAATAAAAGTTATTTATTTTCTGTCTAAGTGAGTCGCAACCTAAGCAGGTGCCTAGACGGATACCTCATCAGGTCTATGCGTCATTTCTTAATTTTCAAACATTTAGACATTAATCGGAACAATTACCAATCGCCTAGCTCGGAGATTTTTAGAACATCGATACAAATACAATGAAATTGTATCCACAAAAATGGTTGGTTCGATTTATGGTTGGGAAGGCTCCCGCGGTTCCACCTAATTGGAAGACTCTGTCTCTGCAATTGCATGCCTCAATTTATGACTTGAAGGGATAGCGTATGCAGACATGGTACAAGGAACATCATTTGATGGGCATAGTACCATATATGTGGGCCCAAAGCTAAGTGTTTTATGTCAAGATTCACCTGGTGCGGTTAATGTACAAAAACCATTTTATCATCTTTATTTGTCCTTTTTTTTTTTCGGTCCAAATGATGTCGATGTTGATAATAGAATTATTAAGTGTTGGTTAATCTACTTATTCTTATTTGTAACATATCATTTGGTTAACAAATTTGATTTAAAATTTTGATCTTCCTAACATTATCTTTAGAAAAAAAAAAAAAAAGTATGCAGGAGAAAAGGACCTTATAGTTTTCAACTTTCCCATCCCAAAATTTCTATGGATAGACGTATATAATTATTAGTCCATAATACAGTTTGACGTTCTTACATGTAAGTTTTTTTTTTTTTTTTTTTTGGGAAATTGAGATTTTGTGTGGAAATTTTGTTCCTGTTTGCATTAGAATCGAGTGGAGAGAATTTACTGTCATGAATTTGGCATTACTCGTTACTGGATTTGGATGGTTGGGAGTTGGAAAATGGGAAGTTGGTTTGGGATTTCTTGTACATGATGATGGCTGAAAAAACCCCCCACAAAGCAAAAGGAAGTGATAAAAATTAGAGGCCCAAATCAGAGAGTTGCTTCCTACAGGTGGGGCTAGGGTGCTCGGGTGCTCACTTAGAAATAATGATAGTACAAGTGTTCAATTTAAGAATAGTCAATGTTCAGTTTAAGAATAGTGATTGTACTAGTCTTCAGTTTAAGAAATAGTCAGTGTTCAGTTTAAGAAATAATGACAATATATATTCAGTTCTAGAAAGAGTCAGTATTTAGTTAAAAAAATAGTGCTAGTACTATTGTTCAGTTTAAAAAATAGTGATAGTACTCATGTTCAGTTCTTGAAATAATCAGTGTTTAGTTAAGAAATAATGATAGTACCAATGTTTAGTTTAAGAAATAGTCAGTATTTAGTTTAAGAAATAATGATAGTAGCAGTGTTCAGTTTAAGAAATAGTGATAGTACCAGTGTTCGGTTTGAGAAATAGTGAGAGTACCCGTATTCAATTTAAGAAATAGTAATAATATCAATACTAAGTTCTAGAAATAGTAATAATACTCGTGTTTAGTTTAAGAAATAGTAGTACTATTGTTCAGTTTAAGAAATAATCAAGTCAATGTTCAGTTCTACAGATAGCCAGTGTTCAATTAAGAAATATTGATGGTATTTGTGTTGGGTTATAGAAATAATTAGTGTTCAGTTATAAAAATAATCAATGTTTAATTATAGATATAATCGTGTTCAATTCTAAAAAGAATCAGTTTTCAGGTATAGACATAGTGGTAGTGATAGTACTCAGTTCTAGAAATAGTTAGTGTTCAGTTATAGAATAGTGGACTGTTAGTTCTAGAAATAGTGTTTAGTTCGAATATTTTAAATTTTGGAAACTTTATGTGTTTATAATTGATAATTTTGTTTTCTTTTGGAAATATTTTAGCTATTTTTACTTTTTTTACTTGAAGAATCGCAAAGTATCAAATTTGTAGTATGATATCAATGCATTTTTGTTGATTTGTATTTGGGTTTTTGTTGGGACATAACAAAGCGACTTATAAATCTGTAATCCAAGACAATTGATTTGCTGATATAAAAGATAATTCGATGGAATATTGCTACATAATTTTAATTTGATGTGTAATTTTTGTTTTGTTTACGAAACTACCAGCCAAATTTTTTACTATGGATATTATATGCCTATGAGCAAAATTACATTACAATTATTTATATCTTAACTTTAACTCAATTAGAGCAATGATCCCTGAACTTAAAATTCATTATCATTGGTCTCTCAACTCATCAAAACGTGCAGCTATGATCTCTCAACTCAAAATCTATTACCATTGGTCCCCAACTTTAATCCAACTAGAGAAATGGTCCCTCAAATTTAACCCAATTGGAGCAATGGTCCCTCAACTTTAACCCAATTATAGTAATAGTCATTCCAACATAACTCATTTTGACAAAATTCTAATGAAGTTAACGAAAAGGACCATAGCTACACGTTTTGATGAGTTGAGGGATCCCAATTGTAGCAATGATCCTTTCAACATAACTTATTTTGACAAAATTATGACGAAGTTGACGAAAAAGATCATAACTACACATTTTGATGAGTTGAGGGACCAATGGTAATTGACTTTTAGTTAGGGACCATTGCTCCAATTTGATTAAAATTAAAGCACCGTTGCTACAATTTACTCTTATTTATATATAAAGACATGAATTAATAGTAAAAAAAATAATTTATGGTGCAATTTGAAAGTAGAAGATTTAGGGAGAGATAAGATGGTAGTGCATGTAATTTTGATTAATAATGTCATAAGAATATGATTATTCAGAAAGATTCAATGGATAATCATCACCTCACCTCCCCCACTTGCCTCTCATAGAATTTATTTGCACAAAAAAAAATAATAATAAAAAGTTGAAAGAGAAATAAAAAGAAATAGGAATAAAAAATAGAGTCAATCTCTGGCAAGCATCAAATTTGCTGATTCGGGTAAGATTGGGGCGACAAAGCTTCTCAACACTATCCTTCTTAATTCTTAATTAAACCTAATCCATCAGATGCTATTTTATTATTCTATCATTCAACTTAATCGCAAACACAAAAAAACTCAGAAACAAACACCGACGAGAAGATGGGGTAGCATGATCAAGAGGCCGTGCTTTTTATTGACTGACAGAATGGTGTTTTCGTCAAGGGCATTGGCTGAAACAAAAAAATTTGGTTTTGCACATCGGTTTGTTTCCTACTCATGAAACTTTAGTTTTTGTTCTTACTATATATTTTTTTTGTCATTTTCATTAAACTAGCCTCTCCGCACGCGCTCACGCGCATGCGAGAGACTTTTTTGCATCACGGGCACTACGCGCCCCAAAGATGTGTTACTTCTTATATATCCTAAGTGATTACTGAAAATAAATAAGATCTCATTGCTAAAGATGTCTCAAGTTAGTTATTTTTCATTGTAATTGTCAAGATATATGTTTAATGTATGCGCATGCGAGAGATATTTTTTTTATCACGGGCGCTACGCATGCCCCTGAAAATGTGCTGCTTAATTTGTTTCCTTATTTCGTAAGTGCTTATTTATATTTTAATGTGAGGGCCATTTCGAAGTTTTTGATTTTGAATTTGTGAGAGGCCAACACCCATCTTTCCTCCTATTTGTTTTTAATATATAACTTCATCGTGTGTTTTTTTTCCTTCTGTTGAGAAGTAGTAAGCACAACCATGTAACCAAGAAATATGTCAGTGACTCAGTATAAAAGAACCAAAAGGGGAGAGAATTGCACATAATATTTTTTTTGTGACAAATACACACCAAATCATTTAGTCTTTCTACACGCGCTCTTGCAATTTTTTTTTGGTTTACCTTAGATTAGACTTAGAATACAATATTAAGCGACAATTTATTCTACTATGTGTTGAACAACGTTGAAATAGAAGATACTTTGCAATATTTTGTACTCTTCTGCGATAATAAATCGGTAAATAGGTATGCAATGGTAGTATATTTCCAAATAAAATAAAATCATGCTGCATATATACACACATTTAACACGGACCAAGAAAAGAAAATTTCTCTTTGCTTTGATAGCTTATAGAAGCATACATCTATAAGCATACTGGTTGTATGACACTATAAATATATAGGTAGCAACAACATTATCTTTGTGCAATCAAATCTAATTGGTAGACACTTCGAACAAATAGTCTGATTTCCACCCGCCAGTAACATCCAAAAAAAGAAGCAACTTCTCGTGCATTAGCACAATATACACAACTGAAATTTTGTCCGTAAGAAAAAAGAAACTCCATACTACTTATTCTCTTTTCTTATTTTGATGGATAAAATGCACTGAAACCAAACTGCATATAGGCATACTTCGTTTTAGTTCCATGGTATATATGTACAAAGAGTGAAGCAAGAAAATTCCTTTTAAGAATACAACCAAATATACAAAGTAATCTGAAATAAGAACGTAAAAAGAAGGCATAAAGAACTCATAAAGCTATAAAATGAAGAAGAAGATAAAGCACATAGCACTTTAAATAAGTTCCAATAACCAAATGTTAGAACTCTAAATGCAATCACTTAAAAACACAAATGGAAGACATATACCTGAACAATTTTTTTCGTTTGCAGTTGAGTTTGTACCCAAATTGTCTCTGGTTGCGTCATTCTCAATCGGTTTTTGAGCACCTAAAACGAAAGAAATTAAGCTTATAGAGTTAATGAAAACGAAAACTTAAACTACAAAAACTTTAAAGCTAAAATGTACATACAAAAATTGAAAATTAAACTATTTAGACCATAATAAGTGCCATGATGTCCAATTCACTCATTAATGATGGATCTAGGCCTGGTGTTGTGTAGATATCCAAGCAAAACTCTGTTAGAATTGTTAAAAAAAAAAAAAAAAAAAAGAAGTAATTACCACATTAATAGATACTGAAGAAAAAAACATTATTCTTTAAATGTGATCCGATCACTTAAAAAAAACAATATTTTGTACCCCAAAATCAACTACCCAGCATAAAGGTGAAGAAAGGAAACCGACTTCAATCATACAATCACCAGCAAGAAATACCCAACCTTATTCATAAATCTGCAAAAACATAAACAAAAAAAACTACAATGAAAAAGGCTTTTTCAAAAATAAATAAAATAAAATAAAAAAACACCAAATGATAACTATTAGTAAAACTGAAAACAATTACCTTATCGCAGCCTATATATGAGCACCCTCCAAAGGCTCTCTTCTTTTACTATTATACACACAAAAAACTCATAATTTTGTAAAAGCAGTCTCCAAAACCAAATAGAATGTTAAGAAGAAAATATTGAATTAACAAAATTAATTATGAAAAATAAAAGATTCTCATGCAGTGGGCATTTCATTATACCCTGGAATTCTAATATCTAGTACAAATTATTCTTCAATTAAGGGAATCGTAATAGTTCCATAAATTATATATCGACATATCTATCAGTTTACAAAAGCGTGTTAACAATTTACCAAGAAAATAATAAACATAAGAAGAAAACCAACATAAAAAGTACTCAGAAAGAGCATACGTAGTTGAATCCTAAGCCACAAAATGCCGCTCTGCCTATCTCTTCCTCCAGTTTTCACAAGATGGGTCGTGCTTCTTTCCATCTGCTCCCTGCAATAGATTTCCTATACCTGAAATTAAAACGAAAGACAAAGGGGGGGGGGGCAAAGAAATCAAATACTAAGAGACAAAATAGATTTTTCGAATTTTTTTGGATTTTGATTGTGAAGGAAACAAAGGGTCATTCTTCGCATTTTAGAATGCTTCACCAAATTGAGGCTTTCTTTATATATATATAGATAAAAGAAGACAAAAGAGAAGGAAAAAATGTAAAAAATTTTAGACACAAAAGAATGAGATGATTCAGTTTTGCGTGATGAAGTCCTCGTCGTCTCGATTTATGTATTTAAGTAAGGAACTAATTCGTTTGTCAAATATTTCTTTCCGCAACATTCTGTCCAAGAAAAATGACTGCTTGAAATTGAACTTCTGTTAAATACTCTGCCAAAAGATATAGCAACTGAAAGGAAAAGAACACTTGTAACTGAAAGATTATAATCATGCTACCAACATTTGACCCAAAATTGAAAGGAAAAAAGATGAAATTCTATGCATATAGCAGATGATTGATAAATCAAACTCTGCAACGGAAAGATTGACAATGGCTTCAAAATTAACTGCATATCTAAAACAACTTGTAAACGTAATTATATGGAAGAGGTAGAGAAAAGCAATGTGCTGCAGACAGCTTACGGCTCAATATTTGGGTACAGGCTCTGGTTCAAATCTGGAAATTCCTTCTCTAATTCCATTGAATTGCTAGATAACTTCGGCTCACTCTCAAAGCCCACACTTTGCCCGCGCAAAACTAAATCCGAGAATTCCTCTTCCCTGCATTCAAAAACACACCGTCAGTTAATTTTAGATTTTAGAGAGAGAGAAAGCGAGAGAGAGAGAGAGGGATTGCAGATGGTGCTGGGAGTGAAGGGGGAAGGATGTGGAAGAATCGGAATTGAAAGCAAGGTATCGGCTTTGATTTGGTTGTTAGTTTGCAGAATGTGGAGGCTTTGTTTGAATCCCACGTTCGCGGTTCTCATTCCTCATCCAGCAAAACTCATCCGTTTTAATGCTTTCTCTCTCTTTCAGGTATTTTATTTTTTTATTTCAGGGGTTATTCATCTCTAAATATTAGTGGGGGCGTAGGTAGTTATTGTGGAATGTCCCACTAAACTCAATCCAGATTGTGGGAATCCTGCAGAGGAAACGTATTTACTCTTTGTTTTCTTTTTTTTTTCAAAACAGTTTTTTTGTTCAGTTATGTGTTTTTACCAATTTATCCTCATGTATCTTTTTTTTTTGGATTTTGATTGTGAAGGAAACAAAGGGTCATTCTTGGCATTTTAGAATGCTTCACCAAATTGAGGCTCTCACTTTATATATATAGATATCAAACTCCTTAAATTAAATTAAATTATTAGATGATTTTTTTTTAAAGTAAATTTAATCCAAACTCTATTCATTAAAACTCCTTTTCTTTAATTGTATTGACGAAAAATAAAAGTTATAAAATGAAAAGGAAATAAAAAATTCTACAGCCCAGGAGTCGAATGCGAATTTTAGTTTGGAATAGTCCAATATGAGCTGCTTCATGAGAATATATATATATATATATATATATTTTTTTTTATCAAAACTAAAGTTCAAATCCATTAAAATCGTGGGTCATTTATCTTTTGAGTGAGTTGGCCATAATCCAAGTGGAAGCCTAGCCCAAGCCAACTCCAACTTCAAAGTCCAACAAACCAATTATTCAAGGCAAGAGTTATGCTAAACTACTTGGAAAACTTTGCCTCACGTGCCAGTGGTACAACTAGTTGACACCTTAGCTCCATCCCTTTTCTATTTGTTTTTGTTTTTGATTCTATTTGCAGGGATGTGATGGTGGTTCAGATTTGGTGAATCTCGTCACCTGCGGTGGTATTAGTGGCAAATTTTGGTTAGAGATGGTTCTTTGTTACAGGTTGATCATTTTTGTGTTGCAATTTCATCTAATTCAACGCAGAGTTTATTTTCTTAGGATGGTTACCCTTGTGGCGGCTGGCAAGGTGGTAGTGGCAGCAATGGCAAATGGTTCTTCCTTTGTGGACTAGAGATTAGGTTTTCTTATTCTTTATCTTTCTGCTTAATGAGCTCTTGGCTATTTCAAATTTTTATTGGGCTTGCTTTATGTAACATGGAATGTACATTTTCTCATCCAATGAAATCTTATGCTCATTCGACTAAAAAAAAGTTGACATGCGTCATAGTAAATGTTTATGTTTCTAAAATCAACAAGTGACTTCTCTAGTATGTTACAACATGTGCTAGTTTGAGCTTTGAGGTTAATCATTAGTTAATTTTCTTTGCAAGTAGTAACTGATATTGTGACAATGACATACTAATCTACCGCAGTTGTTCATACCTTGGTTAATTAGAGCGGTGGTGTCTAGTTTTCACTTTGTTAGAAAGATCATGATTTTAGATTTCACAAATCTTGAGTAAAATTTTGATGTAATTGCGGTCGTGTGAAGAATGTCTTTTAGATTGTATATATATATGCAGAATTATCATTCTGCCAGTTTGGATATGATCGTACAAGTATATCATCCCCTTGTTCCTAATCATATATTATATGGGCCATAAAGTTTAAGACACAAACATAACAGATGTGATTACAACAAGAAAAACATATAATACTGAATTAGTGACTAATGAAACAAACTAAAGGCAAAGGGAAGAGATCTTATGCCCTAAATTTTAAATAGAAAAGCCTGAAAAGAAGATATGCATACCAAACTGGTTCCAGTGCAGGGTTTCTTCGAGATGCTTCAAAGCTAGCTTGAATGCACTGTTTGTAGCTGTGAAGGGGTTTGTGGGGGCTTGCCTAAACTCTTACCAGCCATTGCTTATCCCAAAAGTTAACCTAGAAATAATTAATTAAAGAGAAAGCACTACACATTCAAAAGCTGCTTTTGAACTTTTTCTTCTGTATATCTTTGATCTCATCTTCCTAAACTCTTTCCTCAGGGAGTTTTCTTAGCTAGGTACAAAGTATTTGGTGCAACTTTATCTAGCTACCAAATATTTAACGGCAACCAATTATTGTCTATAAGCAATTTGATTAGCTACATGGTGTAGTCATTTCAACTTATAAGTTGCATATAATTCTAATGTCTCAGTAAAGTTCAAAATAATTTTTGAAAAAACTGGTCTAAGCTCTCAGTTTTTATGCTTGACTTGGAAACAAAATGTACGTGTATGGTTTTTGAATTCTTTGTACAATGTATCGGTAACATGTTAATTAGTACGTTTTGTTATTGACGTCTTATCGATACCAGATCAACAGTCTACTTTGTGTAGAAAATAATTGATAAGATAACACGAGATCTATTAAAATGAGAGAAGAGAAATACCCTCCAAATCTTAGTTTTCAGTAGGCATTATTTTACAATAGTTAGAGGGCATCTTTTGGGAGGGCAAAAAGAAAAGAGAACTGGTAAGAAGAATAGAAAAAGTTGGGTACTGTACCGCCAAGGAGAACTGTTTAGGTCAATTCAAAAGGAGAGGACAATAACACTTATGCTTTCCTTTCATGCTAAATCTTATCATCCAATCGCGACCGTCCATTTTAATTTTAAAATCAGAATTTAGCTGGACTCCCTACGTCCTACATTACTAAGGGTTTTCTTCCACTATAAAATGCCATAGATATTTTCATGCCATTGCAACAACATATACAAGACCTTGCTTGTCAAGAAAACAAGAGAAAGAAAAAAACCAAGCAGAAGATGGGAAAGCAATCTTCACTCTTCTCTTTCTGCAACATGTTCAAGGCCTGCTTTTCAAGCGGCAGCAGAGATGATACATATTACTCCGATGATGGCGGTGTTTATGTTAGACGGAGAATATGTCCCAGTGATGAGGACAGAGGAGGCTGGACTGCCGAGCCTGGCATCGATGGCAAGGCCACTGCTTTCATTTCCAGGTTCTACGCGAGTCGTGTTTCGGATCCTGAATGCCAAACTTTCGCAAATTGATCGATCAGTTATCATGTTTTTGTTGAGCTAGAAATTTGTAGAAAGTGGTTGATCAGACTAGCTGATTGTACTTTCAATTCTTTTGTCATGCTTCCCTCCTTCTTCTTCTCTTGTAATTTTTCTTGGAAGTGTGCATGTAATCTGTGTGTTAGTTACAAATAATGCAGAAAATAAAATTGTAACATAGTTTCCTCTTTCAAGATCTTTTTCTTCTTTCTTCCTTTTCCTTGGGCAGTTGCTTATAATTACATTAAAGTAACATTTAGATTTAACTGTTGAAAGTATTAGCAACTTTAATGTACATGCACTAAGCTAGTGCGGGTAACAAAGATGCAAGTTTATTAATGTACTATAATAATCTATTTGTTCTCTCACCAAGAAGTGCCCCGCCCCCTCCCCCCCTCCTTTACTCCGTCGTTATTTTATAGTCTTCGAATTCAATAAATCATAAGAGAAACCAAAGGGCAAAAACAAGGGGAGTTGTGTAAAAGGAATTTGTTCTCTCACCAAGAAGTGCACCCAATTCAATAAATCATAAGAGAAACCAAGGGGCAAAAACAAGAGCGGTTGTGTAAAAGGAGAAAATAAGAGAGTAAAAATAGCTATTTTTTTTCCTGTTATTTTTTGTTTGTTTGTTTGTTATTTGATCTTAAACAGCAAAAAGGTCATCGAAGGACCAAACATATTGCCTTTTTTGCATGCATCTTCACCTTTGAATTAGTACATTGTAAATTGCAGATTCACCTTCAAATGTTAGTGAATTATAAGACGTTTTTTTTCTACGTGTAAGCGATTCGAGCACAAGATCGGGTGAAAGAATAAACTTTCACAACCACCTAAACTGCAAGCTCCTTAATTATGATAACAAAATGTATCTCATAATTTACATATAAATAAATTATAGAAAATTTCATTCTAAACCTTGGCAAAGATGACTTTTAGACTAAAACCATGAGTAAGATCAAAATATAATTTTAGTCCCTTATACATTAATAACCTCATTTATTAATTACATTTGATTATTTTAATTATTTCTCTTTTTTTTCCTAATTTTAATGTATTAATTTTATTTCATTATAACTATAATTTTCATTTCATTTATCGTAATATATTTTGTTGTAAACATTTAGATAAACTAATTTTTGTTGTACAATATATTTCGATGTACTTTGTCTTCTTCATTTAGGTACACTAAATTCATTATAATACATTTCGGTGCATACATTTAGGTACACAAATTTCGGTACATACATTTTGATACAAATATTTAGGTACATTAATTCAATATAATACATTTTTGTACATACATTTCGATACTAACATTTCGGTGCATACATTTCGGTACACACATTTAGATACATTAATTTAATATAATACATTTCAGTGCATGTATTTTAGTACATACATTTTGGTACTAACATTTAAATACATTAGTTCAATATAATACATTTCATGTCACATCCTGGCATGGGGCGGACCACTTCCCGGGCCCGCTCCAACATCGTAGCACGATATTGTTCGCTTTGAGTTCCGACTACGCCCTCACGGTTTTGTTTCTGGGAACTCATACGAGAACTTCCCAGTGGGTCACCCATCATGAGATTGCTGTCGCACGCTACTGGCTTAACTTCGGAATTCTGATGGAACCCGAAGTTAGTGAGCTCCCAAAAGGCCTCGTGCTAGGTAGAGATGAGAATATAAATATAAGGATCACTCCCCTGGGTGATGTGGGATTTTACATTTCAGTACTAACATTTAGGTACATTAATTGAGTCTTTCAAGTTTGAAGAATGTTAAATAAAATTAATAAATTAAAATAAATAAATAAATTTGTATATTAATAAATTTAAATATTTAATGAGAGACATTAAATAAAATGCACATTAATTATTTTAAATTAAGGAAAAATCAAGGGACTATAATCAATATGTAATCTAACACTAGATTTATTTTAAATTCCGATCTTATTGAAGGATTAAAATTAAAAAAACCCCAATAAATTATTCCTCTACTTTTTGGTTCTATACTCCATTTCCCTGCAATTATTCAACAATTTGGACCTAAAAATGTGTAAATATCAACATGACAAAATCTTGCACTGTCTACATCGACGAATGAAATATATTAAACTGTAAAAGCATCCTAATAAATGAAATTAAGACCCTTAACTCAGTCCGTGAGTAGTTCTGCTGGAAACCATTTATGTGGTAGGAGCTTCAATCTGAGTTTATCCACATAGCTGCAGTTTGCAGATGCTGCTACATTAATACGTCAATTTGGCAATTATTAGAGAGAAAGAGAAAAAGAGCTGAAATATGATGTTAATTTGG